GGGGAGATCAGAAGCCTGAACCGGCCTCCCCAATTGAGTTTGAAGCTGAGTGACGAAGCAAGACCTGGCCAATTTTGCCATAAAGATCGGAGACAATGGAATCATTCCATTTTTTGGCCTCCGGGTCCTTATCCAAGAGGGCCACCCCTGCCGATAGCCGGCCGGCGCCTTTGGGAAAACCCTTCAAATACGCCCCAAAGGCGAACGGGATTTGGGCCCTTGCGTGTTCATCCTTGATGATGGAGAATTCATCAGAGGATTTAAACGTATCCCGGACGGTGGACAGATCCACGTTCACTTCATAAGGACCGTCCGGGATGCTGGATGGCATTTCTTCGAATTTGACTTGTGCAGCCTCAGCGGCAAGGACCTTCGCCTGGGAAGCTGCAAGTTGGACCCGAAGGGTACCAAGTTCAGCGTCCAGCCTCTGCTTTTCCTCCGCAAAGGCTTTCCGTTCGACCTCCAGAGAGGCGATGGCGGCAGCAGCATGTTGCTCAGCAGAAGACTGGGCAACAATCAGTTCCCGCTCCTTGGCCAGGCGGGCCTCCCGCATCTGAAGGGTGTACAAGCCCATCTACAGAATACCGTTCGAGAGTTAGTACTGATTACAGAGAATAAAATAAAGACAAAGCGCAAAAGACAACGTACCTTCAGAGCAGTCAGAGCCAAACATTCTTCAGATTGCTCGACCGGCAACTGAGGAAGGGAAAAGTTGTTGAACCAAAAGGAGGTCGACCAGATCTGGCTCGCTGTAGAGCCGGCCCTCTCTAATACCTCATGAACAGGGTCGGACAGGGAGATCCGCTCGACCTGACCCGTAATATGGTCGATATGGGTCTCACTAGCATTCGAGGATTCCCCCCGAACGGAGTCGAAATGCTGGGAAAATTGGTGCAGTTGGTCAGAACCGAACCGGTCATCGAGCAGCATGGCCTCTAATTGATCCTGGTGGACCTGCTGAATTGGCTGAGGTTCTGGAAGCGGTTGGGAAGGGGCAGCCTCCTGAGCGGGAACAATGGTGGGAGTAGGTTGGGGGTTCTTCCGGGATTTTTTCCGCTTACCGGCCCCACCGGCTGCGATGACTCTGCTATCATCCATAGGAAGATCTGGGTTGGGTGCTGAAAAAAAGACAAAGAACAATGTTAGTATCGAGCGGCCCTAGCGTGTGAGAAACTAGAAAAAAGAATAAAAGAACGTTTCTCGCACGGGAAGGACCGCCCGGACCAAGGCACTTGGTTTATCAAAACAAGTAAACCCAAGAGAACGGGCAGTACCTATCCCGGCTGTTATAAGTCGTTCGGGGGTCAGATAATTCATGATGTCCATGCATTTATCTTTCTCCACAGCAAGCACGTCCTTGTAGATTTCTTCAGTGAGGACAGGGTCAGGGTTTTGCGGGGAAAGGCATTCCACTTGCGGGGAATCAGACCGTCCGGGATGGACACGAAGAAAAACCGGTCTTTCCACCCTTTGATCGAAGTTGGGTTTCCTTTGAACAGGATGTGTCCCGTTCGGGCACTAGTGGCCAAATAGCCATGGGTTTGTTAGGGGCTACTTTGAAAAACTGGTGGAAGAGTTCTAGGGTTGGTCGGGCGCCGGCATCTTTGCAACGACAAATGAAACCCGCCATTGCTCGATAAGAGTTCGGCATAATCTGGGCCGGTACAACTTCATAGAAATTGAAGAAAGAAATGAAAAAGGGGTGTAGCGGAAATCTAAGGCCGGCCCTAATCGAGTCAAAGTGGACTATGGTCATTCCGGGCCTATGACGCATTGGGTGAAGCCCGGCTTGCAAACGGAAATCTACCGGGTCAGGGATAAGGGTCGGAATTTCGGCCCTATTGTGAGAGGTTAATTTTTGCCTCCTCTCCCTAATCAATTTTAGGTCAAGAGTATGGCGAGGAACATCGTTGGGACGTCCGGCCGCCATGGAGGCTATTTCGTCCTCGGATTTGGTGTCATCAGAATCCTCACTGGAGGAAGAAGAAGTGCTAGGGAGGTCCTCCGCCTCAGCCCTGGTATTCGTCGCCGTCTCAGTAGAAACACCGGCAAACGGAACTCGGATGGCATCTACAATGGCGGTGTCACGGTCATCTCCATGAGACGCCATCTCCGAATCAGAAGAATGCTCTGTGGGGCTCATCACGATCGAAGCCAGAAATGAAGATGGGGAATCCAAGGTTGGGAAATTACCTGAGCAAGGGAAGCAGGGGGAAATTTGCAGAGGAAACAACGAAGGCCAAGGAATTGCAGAGTCGAAACCCGGAATTGAGGAGTTAAGGGCTAATTTATAGCCTTGAAACCGCCGTGTCGAGAACCAATCAGAGAGCGACACATCACTAGGGGCATTTAAGCTAGACACGCGTCTAATGAAAAGACTAAACGACGGTTATCATGATGAATATGGGGAAATGAAGCGGCAGCCGTCAAATCGCAGCATGGGGAACTGATTACTTCTGTACCCCGATCGCCATTCGCGGTATTATGACATTGGTATACTTCCTGATGCACTCACTTCGTTCGAGACATCGGAAGTGGGGGACTTGTGTTGGGATATTGACCTAGAGGCCCAATACCCAGATCGAGAAGGCCCAAGGTATCCGGCCCAAGTAACAGGCCCATCACTCTATGATGAAAAGATCCAGTAAGGAGACATACCGAACGGGGTTCGGCCCAAATAAAGGTTGGCCCAATAAGAAGACATACCGAACGAGGTTCGGACTATATACTATACTTCGGCCAATTTGACAGCATCTTCAGGACGGACCAACATCCCGTTCGAGCAACGGCCAACCAGCAAGTGGCCAGGTGCAGTTAATGCCAGACTATGACATCAGCAAGTGGAAGCATGGATGACCAAGTCGGTGGAACAACGGCCAATCAGCAAGAGGCAGCCCATGCTCTCCATTAGTATAAATAGAAGGTTTCAAGTCATTGTAAGGGTTAGCATTTCAATACTCAAGCTCTAGAATAGCATCATTTGCTCTTATTTCTTGTATTAAAGCATAGTTTCCGACTTACCGATCGGGAAATCCCTTGTAATCAGATTGGTTAATTAATACAAGTGAGCTTTCGAGTTTTAGTTAGTTCAGATCTTATATTTTCTTATACACTTTGATTCTGGGCCATTCCTGATATATCCAAAGTTCGTGTTGGGCTTTCGGATCTGCGGGACTTACCCTCAACAACCTCTATCCGGAACCATCAATTATTATTGGTGTTTTTGTCATCATCATCATCATTATAGCTATTATGATTATTCGAATATATTTGAATAACTTCTAAGACGAATATATCAATATTTACGTTTGTATATGGTGAACGCGCGAATCAAAATTAGTATTCATATTTGTATTCTTATTTGACTTTTTCAAATTCAAATAGTCATATACGACTTCAAATCACGAATCAAGTGCAAAATATTTGATTCATTGTGCAGACGTTCATTGTGCAGACGTGCCCGGTAAGAAACCTTCTCCTTGTCATGGAAGCGTATACTATACAACCGGTTGTACGGTGCCAACCGTACAACCGGTGGCAGTTTTATAATTTTGATGAAAAACACAGATTCTCTTAAATGAGCATTGATGCAATTTTGGTGAGCATCAAGCCTGTTTTTAGTATTAGAAGCCTACCAATGAGCATCAGTGTTCTCTACTCTCTATCTTCCAATTCACTTTTGTTTTATTATTTTTCAATATGTGGATCTAATGTAGTAGGATACATTTGAAATGTGCAACATTTTAAATGAGCATAAAGCGACACCAAATGAGCATTTATAACTTAGAAAATGAGTATAAAAAATTCAAAAGCTCATTTGTGTATGCTCATTCATTTTGAACGTTGGACTATGATCTTAATATAAAACTCATTTCTAATATGTTCAATATTCATTTGTGTATGTTCATTCCTTTTAGCCGTATACTCATTTGAGTTTAATGTAAAACTCATTTGAGATTAAGAGCAGCAAAGATTCCTCAGCAACGAAGTAGGCTCCCCTTGTCTCCAAAAATCACATGTTCAAATACTAAAACTACACCGGCAACTATGGCGGAAAGAAAAACAGAGGGAGGAGAGGTAAGTAGGTAAGTAGGGTGGAGAAGGGGGCGAGTGGTGAACTTTGGTGACGAGCTGCTGGTGTGAAATCAGATCAAAGAAGCCCAATGAGATTGAAGAAGCGAGATGTGAAGTCTTGTGCGAAATTCGGTGTGAAAATATCTGCGAAGTCCTGTGCGAAGCTGTTGAGAAGGTAAGAAGCACAGAAATCCTAAAAAAGTCCGACTGTACCGTACGTACGGTTCGAGAAAGATTAGGACGCGGCTCAATTTGGAAGAAGATGATGATGACGAGTCGAATGAAACTAATCTAGATTAGGCGGAAAAGGAGACAATCGAGAAATTGAAAGAAAATAATTGCTCAAAAAACTACAAGGAGGTGACCAATCTGGATAAAAGGACTCATGAAACCGCTTGGCAAACTAGTGGTGCAAGATCCTAACGGTCATGAGTTCATGACTCATGAAACAAAGGACATAAAGAGAATCAAGACAGATGCTCGAGGAGGGATAAAAGCTTGGAGAAGAGAAAAGAATAAAAAATGTGAATTCAGAATTTCAGATTGGTTGCCAGTTTTTCTTTTGCGAGCTGACATATCAGATTTTTTTTATCATTCACTATTCTAGATGTAATTCACATTTTATTTTTGGTTAGTTTAATTTTTCAATGGAACATGAGGGGGTGTTGGTCTGCGGTACGGATTGGTATTTGGTAGGTTTGTGAAGATAAGTTTCAGTGGGGATATGGGAGCCGATTATTACTTAAAAGGTTTCACTTGGTTTAGGAAAGAGTCCCCTATTCTAAGGGAAATCTTTATTTTGTCTAATCAAGAAGGGAATAGATCTCTGGATTACGAACATAGCAAGGGAGTGTAGTAAGTTTGGATCTGGCATATGTTTTAAGATCAATTTGATATCAATATAAGCGATGTATATTTAAAAAAGATTTATGACAAGTTGGAAAAGAATCATAATATGGAACAAAATCCATGTGAGAAAAGAATCAAGTGCTAGAAACCAAACAAATTCAGAATCAATGTGATTATGTAGGTAGGGGCTTCGAAATGCCGTAATCAGTTGCATACATCATCGTCCTAATAAAGAAAACAAAGACCATCTTCTAAAGTGATAGAAAATATGCATCCAACATCAAGCTATCCACAAAGCATTCGAATATTTGGTGTTGGGGTCATGCACTATACAAGAACACTTCCACAGTTTCACTTGGTAGTCAAATTATGTGTATATCGAATTCAGTTTTAAGCTGGCCGACCTATATTTGCAAATCTTGGAGATAGACGGAAAAATCATGACGATGCGCTAGCCGGATTTCCCCGAAAGTACCATTTGAGGATGTCAAACTGCCGAACCCTCCAGAGAAATACTACAGCAGATAAACAATTTCCAAACATAAATAGCACATACAATTGAGGATGTCAAACTACAACATGTCACCAGGAGCCCATCAGAATTTGTTGTTGTTCAAGTTCGATGATGTTCTCCACCAGGGAGTTAAGGGTCCCACCATTCACCGTTTCATTGTTACCCCTGCTGCATTGCTCCAGTCGTTCTCTCAGACTTCGCACAACTTCGTTCAGTCTCTGTATGTTCTTTTCCTGTGACAAAATAATCTGCAAGATATATATGATGGAAATACATCAAGAGTGGTAAAGACCTGTTGTGTGAAATATACTCCTTTGTCCAAGAAATAAAATTCAGTTACTGTTTATAGTGTTTGATTCCTGATAAAGTTAACAATCAAATTATTACTAATAATAAAAACTTACATGATAACTACACTAAAAGTTCTGTTGAACATCAAAAGCCATATTCGAATATGATAAAAGTTTGGTACATAAAAGTAGAGATTAAGAGCATAGGTTGACACTTGATAGCAATAATAGTAAACTGGAACTTGATTTTGGGAGGGAGGTAGCATACTAGAGGAAATGTCACCCTACTAGTGATGAAGGACAAAGTATGAAGATGCAAACTCTGACTGATATACTGAATTATTAATATAAAGTAAAATGATTAAAAAAGACCTTCTCTTTTACAGCTTCTTCTCTCTGAGAAATCTGCTTCTGCTTCTGTGATAAGCTGGGACTTGGTTCAACATCACTCGCTAGTTGTTGTTTCCATTAAAACTGAGACGTGATTATGAGTATCTTAACAAAAATACAAGCAGCATTGATCTTGACATCATCCTGGTCTTCTCCACTTACACACCTAACAAAAAAGAACCAAACACAAAACAAGTACAATTTCACTATCCAGAAATATTATACCTAGCTCCTAAATAACAAGTACAACTACTTAACAAATGATGAAAAAACCAAACTCCTTGGGGCGTTAGATTTGAGAAAATTGAGATTCATATAGTAATCATAGGAAACAAGAAGCAAAGAGGTGGTGCCGTGGTGATTTTGTAAATTAACTCAAAAGATTCAAAATTTTCAAGCAGTATATAACAGAACATACTATATACTCCGTATAAAATAAAAATGAGGGAATGCATTACATTGGTTGTTGAAGCATCATGCATGTATTTACTCCTTCAAGAGCTTCTCGGCAAAGAGCTCTATATAAGTAGCAAGTGAAAAGAGCTGTCAAAATTAGTAGTTGGTTCATCTAAAGTCATGAAGAGAAACTCTTACACTCTGCCATCCAGAGGCTATCACTCTCTCAACAACTAAAACCCAGATATGCCTCGCGTCTCCACTGTCCCCACAAGAGAAACTCTTACACTCTGCAATTGAGAGGCTGCTATCACTCTCTCAACAACTAAAACCTTTTATGGTTGCACAATATCCAAAGGTAGATTATATGCCCTTAATATCACCCACAAAATATACAGAGAACTCAATAAAGATATACAATGTACTAAGTGAACAAAGATATCCTCCATCGGACAAAAAGCCTTCCTACTTCCATAAACCCTTAAATTTTATCCTAGATTTAGGCCATATTTCTCCACTAAAAAATGAAACTGATCCCAGGACTTGTAGTCATTTCTGCGACGCAAAGCTCTAAGCATAACCAAATGAGTTCTTTTGTCAACTGTGATGCCACTTGACAACATCATACCAAAAATATATAACATGCCTTGCATCGAATGGCGCTTACACAACCTATTAATAACAGCACTGTAATCTCTTATTGAAACCTCATATCCCTTATCTATCAATTGCTCAAATAGATCTATTGCTTTCTTTGCATCACCCTTTGCAGAATGTGCTTTTACAAGAGTGGTATAGGCTTGTTTAGATAAACTCATATTCTGATCTTGAAGAAAGGTGAAAAATGTATCAGCAACCCTTATATCCAAAAATATACATAGACCGGTAATTAGAATGTTGTAAGTTACATGATTAGGCTGGCTATTATTATTCCTTAACAACTCATTGTATAAACAAAAGGCAATCCTCATATCTCCTGCTTGGGCAAACCCACGTATAACAGTGTTGAAAACAACTGCATCAGGTGAAATGCCCTTACCAAATGTATCCTTTAATATCTGAACAGCTTCTTGAAGCCTCCCATAATTACAAAAAGATTTTATAATCACTGTGCGAGTAACACAATTTGGTTCTATGCCAACTTCCTCCATTTCACTAAGCAAATCAAGCATTGCTTTTGTATCCCCCTCTTCAACATATGCATTCATAAGAGTTGTGAAAGTTCGAACAGTTGGCATAAGACCACATGCATAAATGTCATCAATCAACTTTCTTGCCTCTTCTAGCTTATTGACCTTGCAGAATCCGTATATAAAAGAATTAAATGTAATAGTGTTAAGAGCAATTCCTCTCTCCGATAAAAGTCTGTATAGTTGGCCAACTTCTCTGACATCACCACACTTAATATATCTGTGGATCAAACACAGAACAATGTCATCTATCAAGCCATTTTGTGTCAACTCATCAAAATATCTTTTTACAGATTTTGTGTATTCACTTGGAGAAGCCTCAGAATTTTTTATTTCATTGTAGATATGCCACAGAGAATTAGAGTGCCTCAAATTGTATAGCAAATTGTTGTATGTCCTTATTGAAACTTCAACATTCAAATCTTTCATCTTGGATATGACACATAAACAATCAACCACCATATCCGATCTCAAATAAGTAAAGGCAAGCATATTCCAAACCACGTTACAAGAAACCCAATTTTTGAAGTTATTCTGAACTAGCTCACAAAGTGCATATGCAGAACCAGAACCTGATGAAGATTGTAACAGATATAAATAGAGAATGGGCAACATATTGTGTAATTAAACATAAAAAGGGTGTTTCCATTCACCAGATACATATAAATTCTATGTTTTTATGTTTCTGATATTTTTTTACAAGTTATAAAAACTCGATTATAAAACAAAATTTGGTAGCACCTAAATTATATAGAACACTCAAACTTTGAAATGTATACTCTGAATTCAAAATATTCAAAAAAACAAGTGGGTTGAGATTAAGGAAAGTATAGACTCTATGCGCCATGTTTTGCTCAAAAAAAAAACAAGATATGAAAGAAAATTCCGTACTAAATTAATTTCATCCGCACCATGTTTTGCTCATTATCCAGCCTCCAATTTCAATATTGAGTAACATAAATGTTTGTCCCTTACTCCCTTTATCCAGATTCTGAATGCTTCCTAGGAAAACTTTAAGAGTCATGAATTTCTAACCAGGACACAACTTTGAGATTAAAAATTACTCTCCCTCTGGTTTCACATTAGTTGCTTTGTACTATCGTATTACCTTTTAGGAAGCTATTAAATATTTACTCTTCTTTCCTAATTTTTCTAACACTCTAACATTGTCCTATCAAAATTCAAGCAACATAAATGCCCTTACATTTTTATTTTTCTCTATCTTTGTCTAACTATTCACTACAACTTCAATTTTCTTCACAAAAACTGTGAACAACCTACTCGAGTAGTTAATAAAAAGGGAGGTAGTGTGTCCTTGAGAAATAAAATGCAACTCAAAGTCTAAAACACAACAATGTACCTTCTTCATTAACCATTTCCTGTAAAAGGGACCTCAACTCCTTTAGTTGCCGCTTTCCCGCCAAAACATGAGCCACAATAATCTTACAGAACGTAGAGTGCTTGAAACCAAGCTCTTTAGCTAACAAGAAGAAGTCTACAGCCAGGTGCGGCCTTTTAAGCCTCAACAATTCAACAATGCTCTCCACTTCAGATGCATTCACCCTCGATAGCAAGCCTCCAAATCTGGGGTCATGGCATAATTTCTCGATAGTGTGTCCCTTGGCAAAGAGACCGCTGAAAAGAAATAGTAATTTTCGGGCAGCTTCATTTCTGGCGAGGGAAGATGGGGAAGGAGTGATGGGGTAGGGGGTGCTGATTGACGGATCCTTGGAAGAAACCAAGAGGGCAGCAGCTGAAATGGCAGGTCTACAGAATATGGTGGAGAGTGGGAATCGAGACTTTGGGCAGAATTTGTTGATCAATTGAAGCATTTAACGAAGACGATCGAGAACCTCATAGAATTATGTATTATGGATACTAATAACAGTAGCCACGAATAAGTTCATTGACAGAAACCAAAAATACAAGTAATAAAAATGGAATCTTTTGATATCTTAGATTCACAAAGCAAGACGATATCTAACCTGCGTTTCTCAGAAGTAACCTACGGGTCAGGCTGGTTCTGGAAGTTTGAAGGCTAGCCCTAGGCGCGAATAATTTACCAGGTACTTCAAAAACTTAAGGAGTACTGTCTTTTACCGTGCAACGACGAACTAACAAATTACTCCGTATTACTCCGTATCTAATAACTGACCTTTCGAAACTGGGTGGAACACAAGAAAGGCATGTATGTAAATCACTACACTACACCATTCACTTGTTAACACATGCCTTTTAAGAAGTATAAATCATGTATCCTTCACCCCGGGAGTGCACTATTTCTTAATCGCATAAAAAACTTATAAAATAAAATAAAATATAAGTAAAAATAAAATATCGTATAAAAAACTTATAAAAGAAAAGAAAATATAAGTAAATTTCATGCTAGTCCACTTTAAATTCTATAAAAGGTTTAATATTAATGTAAAATATCGTATAAATTTTTCTTTATGAAAATTCTCTAACAGCTTAATTTTGTTTAGCCTCAGCTCTACTCCGCCTCGGAACCAAGCATTTTTCGTTGATAAATTTATCAAGTTTTTTCTTTCTTAGATAAATATTATATGATTTTCTTGACATGAATAGTATCCGATTTTAAATTGGGGTGGGTTAGAGCCTTTCATAACATTTAGTAACAATAAATTTTAATTAAGTCTTTATTTTTAATTATCACAAACCTAGTATTTAATTCTATAAAAATGAACCGAGTCGAGAAGAGTTGAGCTGCTATAACGAAATAATCACAATGAAAAGCTTAGTTTGCGATATTTAATTCTATAAAAATGTAATTTAAATTTATAAAAAAAATTGAAGTTTATAATTTAAAAGTTATTTGAAATAACTCAAAAGTAAATAAAATAAAAAATAAGTAAATTTCATGCAATAAGTAACTTAGAAATATGACTTATATTCTATTTGATTTTATTTCATTTGAAGCTAAGATATTTAAAAAAAATACATATTCCAAATTGTGTTTTTTCATTATAATTAAGTTTAAATTAATTTTTTGTATTCTAAGTTAAATATTTCTTTATTTTTCAAATTAAATTAGCAAATTATGTTTTTATTATAAGTTTTAATAAGATTTTTAATTGAATAACTCAAATTCAGTTTTTTATTATTACATTTTTTATTGTTTGGTAAAGAGATATTTCTGAAGGAACGAATAATACATGTGATTAAGAAATAGTGCACTCCATGGGTGAAGGATACATGATTTATACTTCTTAAAAGACATTTGTTAACAAATGAATGGTGTAGTGTAGTGGTTCACGTACATGCCTCTCTTGTGTTCCACCCAGGTTCGAATCTTGTTGGCTTCATTTTTTTCTATATTTTAGAAAAACACTTAAACTCTCAAAATTGATGACATGGAATTGATGAGATGATGTGGATAAGCTGATGTGGCGCCCAGCAGTGATAATGAGGTGACATGGCAAAAAATACCCCTACTTGGGAAATAAGTTTAAAAGTACCTTAGTTTGGGAAATAAGTTTGAAAAACACCCCTCCATGGGAAAAAACTCAGAAATAACCACATAAATATTAGCAAATAATTTATCTTTCTCCTTATTTGAATGGTTTTATATAATTTTAGTAAATTTTTCTCCACAATGTCAAGAAGACCGTCTGGATATTGACATTGTGGTTGACATTGCAGAGAAAAACTTATCAAAATTTTATAAAATCATTCAAATAAAGAGAGATAATTTATTTGCTAATATTTATGTGGCTATCTCTCGTGCCACATGTGCACCGTGCACATTGTAGCATTGGAGATGCTCTAAATTATTTCATTGTTAACTTTATTTCAACTTAACAATCTAGAGCCTGAGCAAGTATCAATCACTCTAACATCCCAACATACTCCACATAACTTTATTTTCAGAGCCCGTTTGGTGACCTTTTTTTAGTTTAACAGATTTATCAGCCAGCTTTTTCATCAAACATGTAACTTTTTATTTCGCGTGCTGAATTATATAATAAGCAGAAAAAGTAAGATTGAAGTTACTTTTCTGGTTGTATTGGTTGAAGTTACTGTAGATAATCCTTTTAGCTATTTTTCATATAATTTTTTATTTTATTTATTAATAACAAATACTTTAATTTTTTTATGAATCGGCATAATCAGCCAATACAGCAACTTCAGCCAGAACATCATAAATTTCAATAGAATCAACCAATTCAGCAAATTTTAGTGTTACCAAATGGGCTCTCAAAGTGGCAGAACTCCACACTTACATCATTTTCAGATTATCTCAAGAAAGCAAATCAATCATTCTGTTAACAAAAGATCAATTAAAACTTAGCCCAAGTAGTTCAATTTAAAATATTTACTCATAGCATATTTGAAAATGTCTAAAGTCGACTCGTATGTATTACAATTGATTATGCTGCATATTTTGTTGTCCCCAGAAATAACATATCATAGAGAAATTTCATCTTGCATAGCTGCACATAACACCTATTCAAGAATTAAAAAAAGATTCTTAAAGGATAGTTACAAAATTGCCCTGAAAAATGTGGGAGGAGGTGTGACAAAATAGTGTCGTCCTTGATATGATAAGAACTAAAGAAATAGATAAGAACAAATGAAAAGAAAGGAAAAATAATTAAAATACTCCAAACTTTGAAGTGGTGCGAGATAAACACCTCAAACTTTCATATGTAATTTAAATACCCTAAACTTTATATAAAAAGTTATTTTAGCATCATGATCATATATTATTTTTTTTTAAATGTAAATTTATGTTGTTAATTGCATAATTTATAATAAAAAAATAAAAACACTCCAATTATATAGAGTGGGGGTAGTATTATTTATTTTACAATGGAAGTTTAGAATGTTAATTGTATCTTCATGAATGCTAAAATATTTGAAATTATGAAATTAACACCAAAAATTAACGTTTTTGAAAGAAATAATACATGACCGTGGTGCTAAAATAACTTTTATATAAAGTTCAGGGTATTAAAATTACATATGCAAGTTTGGGGTGTTTACCTCACACTCCTTCAAAGTTTGGGGTATTTTAATTATTTTTCCCAAAAAACATTACTTCTCAATTTCCATTTTAAACAACATGGCTTGAAATACTACATAAAGCTTTCGAAAATTCATTATTTAACATAGTGACCTGCAATAACTTAAATCATACAACTCCATTCTTAAATAAATACAACATGTTGAATTTTACACTATTCACATGTTACTTTGACTACATTTTATTTACTAATGTATTAATTTTTTTTATGACACTTACACTCACTACCACTTTGGTTCACAGCAGGACGGAAAACATCCTAACAACATCTATACTAACCACTGCAGTCTGCCACTACTTCCAGGGGCGGATGTGTAAGCATTGGGTAATGGGGGCACATGCCCCCAATAAAATATAAGTGTGAAGCTAAATGTATATACATGAAAACTTTTTGTTTGTAGGAAAATAAGACTTGTCCCCACTAAAAAGTTTATGTTGCCCCAAACAAAAATAATTTTATACAAGAAGGACTATGATGATATTTATTGTTGTATATGCTTAACTTATTTGAATTATAAATGGTTGAAAGAAATGTTAATAGTACAACATACAAATGAAAAAATTTGTCAATAGTTTAGTTAGTTTCTCAAATAGTAAATTTAGAAATATGATGATAGCAATTAAAATGAGTTTTTTGTTTAGTAATTAGTTTATTTGAATATGACTTGCATGCTATTTATGTTATTATTTATAAATATCAGCTAATTGTTCTGGGAAATTCCCCTAAATAGAAGTACATAAGTTTTGAAATTCTAAATAGAATGATTATGTTTTTCTTCAAAAATAGGAGTCTTTATTGTCATTATTGAAAATACTGCTACGATTGGAAAATATCGTCATTAATGATATTACGAAATAGTAAATATTATCATGTTTAATACCTAGTACTACAACTATTTGACAGACCACAAGATAACAGTAAATATTGTCACGTTAATCCTATTTTGAGAAGAAAACATAGTAGCCCTGTCTTGAAATTCAAAAATCCGTTTACTCCTATTTCAGGAACTTTCATATTTTTTATTTTATAATTATTTAAAAAAACTCAGCATACATATGTTTAATTAAACACGTCAATATCAAATTCATTGGATCTAATATTGTGATAAAACGTTTTCGTGGCATACAATATAATAAAACATTTCGAATAGAACTCAAATTAGATTAGGGGTGTGTTTGGCACAACTAGCTGAAAAGATATGTTTATGAACTTTTTAGTAACTGCTAACTTTTAATGACTGAAAAGATCTTAAAAGAAAAAGTGATAGTTGTTTGATAAAAAACTGACTGTTTTATTTAGCTCTGTTTGGTGTACAAGCTGTTGAGACTAATTAATGCTAAAAAATACAAATTTTTTCGAATGCTAATCACTGGAACATCTTAAAAAAGGTCTCTTATTTCTACAAAAACTCTTATAAATTGTCATGCCAAATATATAACTAGAAGCCTTTAAAGACCTTTTAAATAATACAAAAGCTAGAAGATAGAGACTTATGTCTACCAAATGTGAACCAACTATAGTTTTTCGTCAGCTTAAATTTTGAAATGGCGCCCCCAATACATATTATTTCTGGATCTGCAACTGACTACTTCTAGTTAGTGAGTTACTAATCCTAGCTAGTGAGCATGTGGCGATGGTCAGTGACCAGGGCTCGGTTGGTAGTCACTGAACCAGTGGTGGTGGTCAGTGGCGTTGACTGCCCCTTTTTCAATGACTTGGCGGTGGTGGGCATTGGCTTTGACGGGTCCCTTTTCAGTGATTTGGCGGTGGTGGTCAGTGCATTGACTGCCCCTCTTTTGAGTGACTCGGTAGTGGTGGTCAGTGGGCAGACATGGGTTCAGTGTAGAAAAATTATATAGGAATAAAGGCGTATTAGGTAGCATTTTTTGTCTCTGTTATTTAAGTAAGGCTAAATAAGTTCTAGAATAAGAGGAAAACTTATGTGGTCCTATTCAAAGAAAAGATTTGTGTTTTACTTTCATATATATTTAGCAGTTTTTTGTTGGAATAGCTGTTAATATCCGGTAAA